GATCCTAACAGTAGTTTCCTTTCTGTTGTCCCATTTTTTTCCACCTTTTGTTCAGAAGAGAACTGCCCAGATGAAAACCGGTCAGAACCTCAACCATCTGAAGAGAAGAAAGAGTTGAAGGTACACGAGGGCATGAGAAAAACCATAAAGAATTACAGGGCAACTCAAGCAAGTTTTATGAGCCATAAAATATATCAAGAAAGAGGAAAACTAAAAGAATCCTCTGGGGTTTGCGTAGGATTGGATTATTGTGTCATCTGGGAGCCAATTTTTATTTTACTTATAAAATGTTCATTTGATTGACCTTTCAGTGCAAAACTACCTGGTCGGGTTGTCCAAGCCACTGGAGCAATTATTACAGATTTTCTTCTCTGTTTTACAGACATTTCTAATTCCGGTGCATGAGGGGAACAACCCTCTTATTGTGGCAGCAGGCCTGTTCTAGAAAGGAGTAGGAATCTTTTAGCGGGAGTGAAGAGTTTTCTGAATTGAGCCTTTCTGTTAATGCAGGAACAAAGGGAAGGAGTTCTCGAGGAAGAAGCTAAGGAGAAACTTGGAGAGGTGCCTAGGAAGGAGGAGGATAAAAGCAAGGAGGCTGACGGTGAAAAAGAAATGGACAAGAGTGATGGGGACACTTTGGGTAAGTATCACTTTCCAGGAAATGAGAAGAAAAAGAGTCCAAGTTGAGTTGGTGGGAAGTGGCCCTGAGTAATGAAGTCTCATCCAGAAATATTTTCTGTTCAGTGCAATAAAGCAGATCATATAAACTTACATTTGGAACACATAAGAGCTCTGTCAATAAATCTCACGATGCTGTAAACGGTTGCATTGATCATTGTGAAGCATCCATGAATAGAGAATGGGCTAGCAAGGCAATGTTTTGCTTCTCACAGCTTGTTAATATCCAGGCATCTTCCACCTTTCTCTCTTTGCTGCCATGTCATTGGTGCCAAATATGCAATGCTGAGCTCTAGGCCCCGGAAGATCATCTCCCTTGCCTGTTAGATCATTGTCCTTTCCCATAAAACATTTATCTTCTGCACAGCTGATGGAGAAAAGGAAAAAGAGCCAAAGGATGGCCAGGAAGAGGGACCCAAGGACCTTGTAGAGGCTGAGGGCGAGCGGAAGACCAAAGTGGAGAGGGACATTGGTGAAGGTAACCTCTCCACTGCAGCAGCTGCTGCTTTGGCTGCTGCAGCGGTAAAAGCGAAGGTGAGTTGCTGGGGAAGGGCTGGGATCTGCTCTCTGTGTAGGCCAGGCCACTGCAGCTTATAGCAATTGGAGCCCTAAGCCTGTTTAAAAAAAAACAAAAAACCTACTGCTCCTCACAGCCTCAGATTTTCACTGGCTATATCAAAATAATAGACTCAGTATCCTACTCCATAATGTTTCTGTTAGTATGTTGGACTCCAGGATGAATGGGGTCGCCTACAGGTCTGTGTAAATAAATAGTATTTCCAATAATTGCTGGCTGATAAATAAAACAGTGGCTGGATATTCTGTGAATCTTAAGGCATGTGCTAGACTTTCTTCTCTGGCTTTTGGAGGGCAGGGTGGAGGCGGTTCTGTGGCATAGGGGGCTCTGTCAGAGCTCAAAGATGCCCTCTCTATTTTGGCAGCATTTGGCAGCAGTAGAGGAACGTAAGATCAAGTCGCTCGTTGCCTTGCTGGTGGAGACCCAGATGAAGAAGCTTGAGATCAAATTGAGGCACTTTGAAGAGCTGGAGACCATCATGGATCGGGAACGCGAGGCAGTGAGTACAGCTGCATCCCCATAGCATTTGTTTTGCTTCCTCTGAGCGTTGCTTCTGTGCATGGATAAAATATTACTACTGTTACTACTACTTAGAGTACTACTACTATATTAATATACTATATTACTACTACTATATTACTGCTGTTGCTGTTAATTTCCTACTTGAAGCTGGAATAACTAGTTGGTAGTGTAGTGATCATAAGAAAGGCTGAGGGCCAAAGAATTGAGGCCTTTGAACTCTGGTGCTGGAGAAGACTCCTGCGAGTCCCTTGGACTGCAAGATGGTCAAACCGGTCGGTCCTAGAGGAGATCAACCCTGACTGCTCT